TTGCCTTCTCTGTAAGAACTTACCTAGGATTTATCTCGTCAAAGACATATACAATTCTAATTTAAGTTTCTCTCTGGGGCCAAACTCTCATAACCAAAATCTTCAGAGACTTAAATGATCCCATTTCAGGCATATCTGCTGCAAAGTGTCTTTGACAGATGGCTGACTAATATCTCTACCTAATCTTCTAGAATAAATGGATTTATTCTTGATTTAAAGAGCACCAAGCTTGAGCAAGACAAATGATTCTCTCAGCATACATTTTAACAACATCTTCTGAAGCCAGATAAACACACCTAACATGAATTAGCTGCAATATCAAGGCAGCTGATTAGCTAAATGCCTCCAACATTTTAAAAATTTTATATATATAGAACCAAGTATTGTGCAGTATGCAGTATATACCAGTTTTGTGGCCAGATAGGCAGCTGATGCTGGTGACTCACCACTATCAGCACTCACCTGATTTTCCCACCAGTCTTGCAGATGGTGTGGCTTTTATGAGGAATGACAGAGCCACACATGCCACAGCTCTTCAGCCACCAAAGTTTATGTCCCCCTGTATTAAACTGATTATTAATCTGGCAACTCCAGGTTGCTGCAAACTCTCAGGAGCCTGGGAAGTATCAGAAGTGTGTAATGGCAGTGGTGGGTGTGGATGGGCTGTTCTGAAGGGCAAAGGGAGAAGGTGAGCAGAAATGTAAATAGGGGGTTTTATTGGGAAGGCAACGGGATATGTGGCAGATACAGATACTTTGTGTAGGAATTTGAGAAAATATTAAAGTAATGAGAGCAATGGTTAGGTCAGATTTATTTTTTTTTTTGGGGGGGGGGGGTAAATTAGATTTACAGATTAATTTAGAGGACTTGGAGGAGAAGGATAGAGAATTTCTGAAAGTCTAGTTAACTCAAATAGTGACAGGTAAAACACATCAAAATCTAGCCAAGGGTCTTGAGAGAGTCAATATTTAAATGACATAAAAATTCCTGAAACCGGTGCAAACCCTCAGAGTGTCCCCTTCGGCTTTTTCTTCCAAGAAATGTGTGGAAGAGGATAGAATATTTTCCTTTATAATGAATTCATAAAAGCAGTTTGCACCTTGTTAACTCAGATTTCCTGAAGTCCTACCCTGTCCTCTCCTGCTGCTAAATGAATTAGGTTGCCCTCTTCATGTCAGGGAGGAGTGTAATCGTGTATATGTTAACCAGCCTCCCTCACAAGTGAGAACAAATATCAGGAGTGCCATTAATCATTTTATATGAGTGTTTGAGGTGTACAGAAGCCCTCTACAATGGCAGGTTTTAATTCCATTGGCACTTCCCCAGCTCAATCCTCACCAGCCAACAAAGGGGCAAGCAGGACACGATTGTGTTTGTTGCCTTTTAAGATGGGGAATGCAGAAACACACAATAAGGCAGAAGGCCAATTACATCTTGGTAAATCATGCTATTAAGTGAGCTCGCTTTAAGGACTAATTTGATTCACAGGCCTCAATTTGCCTTACTTTAATTTGACTCCTTTTGTACTTCCAGATTAACACTAGAGGAGCAGAAGGATGATGATTACATTCTAAGCTTTTCCATATTTTCTGCACCCCTAGCTACAGATACTCTCCTCTGCAGTGTTTGTTTTGAAATCCTGGAAAATACACTTTGTAAAAAGATCTCACCAAATGCCCAGGCACATCCAAACTTTCCACTGGATCTCAGACATTGGACACCGGTACTGTTTTGAGTTGGAACGGGATATCAGGGCTGGACAAGGAAATGAGGTCTTGTCAAACAGTTCAGTGTTCATATTTCAGTCTCGTCACACACATGTGTTACTGTTATTAATATGCTTTAATGTACTATAATCACACATGGCATTTTGCAAGTCAAATTAGACAGAAAGCCTGGCATCTACTTCCTTCATATTTATCTTCAGTATGAAAAATGCCGGTAGTTTGAGCTAATCCAATTATGCCACGACAATTAAACTGTGTAACTGCCGTGGTGTATCTGCAATGCCTTGTGCCCATTGTCTCCAGTGCTTCACAGTGCAAATTGGCTCTGATCTGGCTTATGAGCCAGTTTCTGCAACTGCTGTAATCACCCTTCTCTGGAAGAACCTCATGCTGTAGGAATATTTCCTCTGGTTTTCACTGGGCTTCTCACAGGCACAACTCTGCATAAGGTCCAGGTCTGTCTTCGTTAGGACGTGACTGCCCTGCACAACAGGGCAGCATTAACAGAGCCATGCAGTCATGCCCAGTTCAGCGTCAATATCTGGCTTTTTGCAGCCCTTGCATACAATACACTTCTTGTTCCCAGGGGTTAGTCCTGGTTAGCCCCTATGGGCAGAGCTATGTCATAAATCAAGCAGAAAATGCTCAAAGTTTTGCTTCTCTGTATACTACATAGATGCAGTAAGACGAATAAGGAATCCCCTTTTGTGCTGCTTAGTAAGCGATGACACGTAGTGGGGAGAGTGGCTAAAAGGAGTATACATGTGCAATATTTTTCTGAGGGATTTAATTTCTAACAGAAAACCAAAATGAGGTTGGGCAGAGGGTACTAGTATCCAGTGACCGTGCTGGCTGTTTCTGCTGCCATACAGCATATGTGCCCTTTGGGGAGGTAGAAAGATGAGCAGGAAAATGTCATGACAGTTTTATTTGATTTTTCTGATTGCTATGATGTTGCACTACTAGCAACAAACTGCAATTTCCAAGTGAAGCAGTGGGGAAAGCTCCTGGCACTGCCATCTGTAGTATGAACCACATGCATACATCAGCACAGCAGATACATCTCCGCACTTTTTAGAATGGCTTACAGAGGAATTTTTTTCTTCTGTTCTGTTGGACTGGTTCTGTGTAAAGTTTTGGAGGGCTCTGCTCTCAGCAGCCTGGTATGGTTTAGTACTAACAAAGTACATGTTTTTGGCACATTGTTCTGGAATATTGTGTCTTCATTCAGTATATTTCCTCTTCCCTGTTGCTTCCAGTGATTAATGCCCCAAAATTTCATGCAGAAACCACACAGCTGCTGCTGCTTGGTTTGCTGGAGGTTGGTGACTGGTCTTACTGAGGAGAGTAAGAAAGGCACCTGAGTTTTTTAAGGACCTTGTGGTTGATCTGGTGCTGATTCATCAGCAAGCACTTCTGGGACTCAGCACAGGAACTGTGCTGCAGCTGAGCTCAGCAAGATCAGCTGGTCCTGAAGCTGGTCATGCAGAACCATGAGAACAGACCAGAGGAGATCACTCTGCTGTGTGTGTGCAGTCAGCATCCATCTGCACTGCTGTTACTTCTAGGTAAAGATTTAGCTAGCCACTGAAATGAGCAATTAAAAAAATAAATTAATTAATTAACAATTCTTCAGTTTGCAGATTGTCAATAGTATGGAAAAGAACAGGAGGTCAGTCTCAGAAAAGGCAAATCTGGACATGAGGTCACAGCACACTAAAGCAGGCTCTTCCTTTGTGGGTGGCAATGAAAAGACTCCAGGATCCCTCTGTCACATTAGAAGCAGCAGCCTACTTTATTACAATTGTTATTGTTTAATAAGTTTTCTAGGCCTTATTTAATTGCCTGTAAAGGAAAGCCAGCTGCTATACGGAAGCAAGCTCTAGCTGCACATCACCATGATTTCATGAAGAGGAGTAAAAGAAACAGTCAAGAATGACATTTTCATGTAAAGTTATAAAACAAACTAAATCCCAGTGATTTGTTTCTCTGTTTGTAAAAACTCTGGCACCAGCAAACTTCAACTTCCTCTGCAGGGGAAAAAACAAAACAAAACAAAAAAATGTATACTGGGGAAATAAACTGAACATAAAAAGCTCAGGTTTACAGCTAATTAACTTTTTATTATAGCTAGCAGGTCTGACTTCTGTCTGTTTTTTTAAACCAGTGGGTTAGCAGATACCCTACAGTCCTTAAACATTGGCTAGAAGCCTTGCTAGTGACCTGGTAGCCAACTGTTGGCCTCTGAAGGCCAAGGGCATTGAACATTGTTTTCAGCTGCCAACTCTGTCTTTCATCAACACGGAGTGCCAGCCACTGCGACTTCTCAGTCAGTAAAAATGGTCAGGTGGAGAGGTCTGAAGAGGATATCAGTGCTTGATCCATGCCAGAAGATACATCTTTCCAAGAATTACTTCTTTATCCTCATGCCACGGGGCTTGTCACTCACTTGTGGAAGAGAGGAAGCCAGTAGGTACAGGACAGAGGGAGTGCAAAGTGAGATGGGCAACCTCGTGGTTGTAGTTACTGCAGATAATCCTGCTGGAAAGCATTCTTTCCGCACACACATGTCTAAAGGAGTTCCCTCACATAAATCAAATCTACTTCACCTGTAGACCGGAGATATCACAGGAGAAGACTTTATGTGGTGGAACTCTCCCACTGCCCTGCTAAAGATAAGTAATTATGAAATGAACTTTGAGAGAAGGAGAAGAAATTAATATTATTCAACATTTCATATCCAAAGTTGGTTTTGGTTCTGGACAAAACCACATAGTAACATTAAAAACAATCGGTTCACCAGGTGTTTGATTTTATGGACTCAGGCCAAAAGTTGGTGAGTCTTGAATAGAAGAGCATATGTTCTCATCTGCTTTGTTTTCTTTAGGCCAAACAAGTCTTGTTATCACCCTGTTCTAGACCTGGCTTCTCCATAAGCCCTGTGGAATTTACAAATGTCAGTCTGAACTACAACCTTCTGGTTAGACAAGCTGATTAGGCTATTGAAAAAATTATTGGCATATACAAAGAAAATCTATTATGACATACCTACAAAGTACCCTAACTTCCTCAAACTAAAAAAAAACCAACAAACTATCTCCCACCCTCAAAGTCCATTGTCTCATCATCCATTATCAGTTCCAATATTTTATTTTATTTTATTTTATTTTATTTTATTTTATTTTATTTTATTTTATTTTATTTTATTTTATTTTATTTTATTTTATTTTATTTTATTTTATTTTATTTTATTTTATTTTATTATTTCCATACAGGGGCAGTGTTCGGCCACTGCTAGTCAAAGACCAAGAGCCCCCCTGTTCCAGAGGCTGGGGAATAGAACTGTTTTGAGGTAAGCATGATGGTTTTGTTATTAACTTTAAGACAGGAACATGAAGAATGGGAAATACTAATGGGATTTCTAAAGAGGATACAGGGCTCCAGTAAACAGAAGGAGAAACAACATAAATCAAATTCCTAAAACCTTCCTTCTGGTCCATTATCCATTCACTTCAGTGAAAATATCTCTGAGATAGGATGTGGTATATATTGTTCTGTGTGTAACTCCAAGTTCATCTTTTTTAAATGGATTTGCTTTCAGATAAATGAAGAAAAGCCAAACATTGGCTTAATTGAGTTTAAAGAGTTTGAAAATGCATAGGAGCAAAGTTTCCCCTAATTCTAACCCAACAGCTGTCTTCCAGCTTTTCCTGATCTCAGCCCTGGTTGGGGCCAGAGACAACAGAAAATTAGAAAGTGAACTCTGTTTTTTGAATCATTTAATAGCATTTTGAATGTGTCTTCTGATTTATATTCTGCAAGTACCAATATACTTCTATGGTGAATCATATCTTTGAACCCCTTTAAGGTTCAGGTATGTTACTGAATGGTATCTCAGCTATTCAAACAAGAACAATAATAAACACTTCCATTAAAGCTGCACTGTAACAGTCAAATTATTGAAGGTCATTCACAACCTGCCTGGATGCCATCCTGTGCAATGTGCTCTGGCTGATCCTGCTCAACAAGGGGTTGGAGCAGGTGATCTTCAGAGGTCCCTTCCAACCCCTGCCTGTTCTGTGATTCTGATTCTGTGAGATTAAAAGAAACTCTTTGCTGCTTCAGGTCAGCGATCAGGGTAACGATGGTTTCATCACCCATTTCCAGCTGGGTGTGTTTGATATGCACACTGTTGCAGCGTAACATTAGTGTTGGAGCTAGGGAAGCCAGTATATTTGTGGTTGGAGTAAAACTGTCTCCACCCAAAGAGCTGCAGGAAGATGTGCTCAGGATGGAGCGGTAGCTCATCACACGTTTTGAACTAGGGAGGTTTATCACCTACTCTGCAGAAGAGTACGGTTACAATTAGGCTTAGGGCTAGGGAATTTAAAAAAAAACTTGGAGCTGAAATGCCAACAACATCCTGCTCATCCCAGAGAGCTGGAATGACAGCTGGACTCAGAACAGGCATGTAGCTCAGTCTACATCTGGAGTCAGGAACTGGTCTTATATTCTGCAAGGAAAACTGAGGTGTAAGGTCAGGAGCAAAGTTATGTGGCTGAGTTCCTCTGTATGATCTTTGGAGTGATGTGTAATTGAAGAAAATAAACTATTATTTTGAATAGTCTACATGTATTCTACTCTGAGAATTAAAAAATAATAATAATTAAAAGGGTATTTTTTGTTTAAATTACATAGAAATTAAATTATTCAAATGCCATTGTTGTCTTTAGACATTGCAGAATGTATCAGGTGAGAGACAATGAGTGTTTAGTAAGAGTCCAGAATGAACAAAATACTGTGAACAGAATTCTCTGCTAATTTGTATCAGATGCTACACTATAGGTGTAAATGAAAGCAAATGAAAGCAAAATTACCCCTCTTAACAGCTAAATAACATGATCAATCATTTATAGATAAGTAAACTCCTAAATCTTATATGATTTATAAATAAGTACCTCTTACTTGTAGACATGAACAAACCAAGAAGCCACTGACAATTTTAGAAAACCTTTTCAATGGATGAAGTCTCTTTGCCTTATTGTTTATGTCCCTATCACAATCCATAGTTAATATTTCTTTGAGATACCAGCTGTAAAAGAAGCAGGAGAATGCCCATGGGTTCATATGCAACTTCACCATCCAGAGGACTGCATAATGGAAAAAAATGGAGGTTGCCATGGTAAAATATTATTTGTGTACAAATAAATGCCCTGTGGTCAGTTTCTCCCCCAGATGACAGTGCTTTTGCAGAACTTGGAAGAAAACAGAGGAGAAAGCCAAATATGAGGAGATGTGCAGAAATGGAAAATGGAAAAAAAAAAAAAAAGAAAAAAAAAAAAAGGAAATGAGACAGAAGAAAAGGAAGATTTGTTCAATACTGTTTAAAACCTTTAGATCCTATTTTTTCAGACTTTTTGACATTGATCTGCATAATCCTTATATTGCTGTAACATAGCTTCCCAAGGACTTCTTCATAAGGCTGTCACTGGAGTAACAAATCTGCCTAGCAGGGGCAAAGTAACTGCCCAAAACAGTGCAGAAATCCTGCAGGGGAGGCTTGCTATGTTCATGAGCCTCCAGCAGATGTTCAGGAACTTTGTACAGCTCAGTAGCTCAGCTCCTGTGTCAGGAGCCTTCTGTCTCCTGAGTCAGCAAAGTTTTGGCAGATACAATGTCTGTGCTGTATCCTTGGGTGTTGGAGTCCTAGAGCTGGAAGGTATTGCATTTACCTGCCTGCCAGGCTAAGATTTTGTGTGGCTTGAAGTAATCTGTCTCTTACCTGGGTATCTCCTCCTGCCTTCCTCAGAGTATTCTCTTTGCCAGCTCTAGCACTAATTGTCCTTTTGAAACATACTGAGCAGAGCAAAGACATATGTAAAAAGGGAAGACATGATCTTAGCAACAGCTGTTACAAATGCAATATCAAATAGGAAGTGTATGAGAGAAAAGCATAAAATAAAGCATATAGCACTTTTCCAAGGAGGCTATGGCTGAAGTTTTACAGATTCATGTCAAAGTGAATAATAGTCTATCTGACTGCAACTGGAAAGGAACACTTACACTGGAAATCATTGATTATGACCAAAAAATAATCATAATAATAATTTTAAAAGTGCAGCTTCACTTCTGCAAACGTTATGAATGAGGCAGCTCCAGCTGCTCCCTGGTTTCTAGTTTGACGCATACCATCAATGTACAGAACACAAGGTAGATTTACACCTAAAGCTGTACAGGCAAGTATTGCCATGGGGTTCCCCCCCACCTGTTCAAGTTACATGCCAGCATTTCAACAGAAATTGCATACAACAATGAAAAATCTCTGTAATGTATCACTTACTTTGATTACAGGTCACAACTTGCTACTTACCTAACGAAAAACCTGAATGACAGCCCAGCAGTGCTCCTGCACAACCCACCAACACCAACATTCTGCTTGTTCCACCAGGTAGGTTGCCTCTTTGTTTTCCTGCTGCAGTGATTTGTTTTGATCTCTGAATTTTGCAGCACTTAAGCAGCATCAAAAGATCTTTAAGAAGGCAGCTATTTCCATGGCATGAGAAGAGGAATTCATGGAAAAAAGAAAGGAGAGGGATAAAAGAGGTGGTTAGCTATTGTTTGGAATAATCCATTTCATTTCTCAGCAAGAAGGAAGCATGCTAATGAACACAGATGTTTATATTTTCATCTCTGTTTAAACATTGAAGGCCTGATTGGTTTTTTTTGTCCAAGTTTTGTACTTCAGCACAGTTATTCCTGATTTACCCTGCTGTTGGTGTGAGGAGAGTGAGGATCCTCAGCTTGAAACATTATACAGCCCAAGATAAGTGGGCTATAATCCAAATAACAGATGTAAATGTCTTAAACCTTAGAGTATTAGAAAAATCTTTATATGTTCCAATCCTTTAAAGCTGATCCATGAAGAAACAGCACCCCTTTGGTCATCCCCCGTTCACTTTCCAACCAAGAAGCCCTTCCAATTTAAAAATCTGCAAGGATAAAATTGCATTCCTTAGGTTAAAATATTTTTTCCCCAGGAATTACTTAGATGCAACTGTCAGACATTATGAATTCTCACTATTCTGACTCACACTGATCAACTCTAAACAAAAAAAAGACAGCCAAAAGAAAAAAAATCTAGAAACTTTAGAGGCTCTCCTTCCTGTTTTTAAAGCTAGCAAACAGATGAGGCTATTTCTTCTAAACTTCTTCACTCAGACAAAAAAAGCAAAGCCAAAATTACACCCCTTCTTGTGGCTGCGGCTTGCACTGTCAGCTGGTTTGATCGATGTCTGCAAACAATCTGTGCCTGCACGCTGGGCATCTCACACCAGGCCAGAATGATCAGATGTGCAGGGAGCGCTCTTTGCATCAAACGCTGCATTTTGTTTTCCTTTTGTGGCAAACACGTTTCTGTTGCCAGCAAGATGACAGCTCTGCGGCTTCCTTGTAGCCATGTAGAGACAAAAGCAGCGATGGTTTTAGTCTATAGTACAGTCCAAAGGGGAAAGTGACTAATAATGACATTGGGTATGATATTGCCACAACAATGTGTTGTCATGGACTGAGTCCTATGGCTGGCTTACAAAGTACGTTTATTTCTCTTTGAATTGTGCTCTTCTCTGATTAGGAATACCCCATTGTTTATTTCCAGCATAATGACAAGATGGATTCAGCACCTGGCAAGCTGCCAGATTCCGTATTTCCATTAGTTTCTAGATATGAGTTGTTTCCTGATCTTCTTCTGAGACATGCTGTCTGCTTCACTAAGGCTCTTTATGTTGTTTCCCCTGCATCACCCCATAGCTAAAGCTCACACACAGATTTATGGTTATGATGTGCCATTTTCTGCTACCTACAAGGGAACAAACCAGAATAAGTGGTGAGGTATAACATTATGGTTGGATCAACAAGAGCTGATCTTCAGCAGAGATCCAGAGCAGGGGTCCCACTCAGATTTGACAATTTCATCAGCTTCTGCGACCTGACTGTGGGCCACCTACTGCTTGTACATGCTCCACCTTTGCCAAACACTGGAGCACTTAATTCTTTGTCCAGACCCAGTGCTATGAAAAAGGAGAACTAGGCTCTGTCAGCATAAACACAGCACAGTAGCCTTCATCTCCTAGTTAACTCTCCATTGACTTCCTTTATACAGATGTGACCTCATCTAAGAGCCTGGAAAAGGTCATCCTAACTGACCAGGTGGTCATAACAGCATGAGTGGATAGTGCACATCACTCTAAGTTGTATGACAGCATACTGTCACCAAATCACCCTCCACAGATCAGAGAATCCACGGGGTGAAAGGGCCATAGCAGTGTTCCCACTATTTAAGTTCGACACACTGGAGAAGACAGCAAGCAGGAACCTGTACTACTGCTGCTTGTACTGCACCGTGCACACAGAGCAAAAGAAAGGAAAGCCAGCTTGTGGGGCATCAGCATTAAATTTACCTCTCAGATACCAGGCCTTCTCTCAGAGCAGAATCAATATTAAATCCCTTTTCTTTCTTCCTTCACATCTTCTGCCTCCCTTTTGTGGCTGTGGCTGCAGATAGACCCCATTCAGCCACAGGTGGAAGCGACGCATGCTGAAGCACTTCAGGTCAGGCCTCTCAGCCTACCCCAGCAGAAGTTTTCCCAACCAGAATAGGAGAAGCACATGCTGGGAAATTTCATTAGAGAAAACTAACGTATCTCAGTAGTCATTACACAGAAAATAGTTGTTATGAGGATGAGGTGAATCTTTTTTTTTTTTTTTTCAATTTACTTTTTTTAATAAATAAAATTTTGCTGGCCAAGCAATTGTGTCTTTGGAAAACCAGCTAGGTATTGTGGGCACCGCTAACCTTCTGAGTTTGGTGACTGCTAAGCTGGGTTTTTAGTGTTGTCCTGGGAAATGCAGTATCTCAGCTCATCCTTCTGATTTGAACTGGGATTCCCCATGCCCTGGAGGAATGCCTTAGCCACTGGGACATGGAGCATTTTGGATTTAAGCACCTCTCAGATGTTGCCTCTCCTCACAGGTTAATATCTCCAGCCCTTAGCTGTCTTCATCCCTTTCTGCTGTGCTAACTCCAGTTTACTTGTGTATGTCCTGGGGGAGGTACCACCAGACACAGGGTGATGGACGTGGTCAAACAAGAGCTGAGTACTCCCACTGCTCCAGGAGGTGGGATCTTTCCTCATTTCCAGTGACATTTAAGAGTCTTCCAAGGAAAGATCTTTGTTCAAGACCATGGATGGGGTTCAAAAACTTTTGGATTTGAACTTCGGGATTTGAACTTCAGCCTGAACTTCAGGATTTGTCACTTCTGGGTTACTGCACACAGATAGGGTGTGGACACTTCCTCCTCCTCTGTTTTGCTAATCCAGCCTTCTGTTTCTGCTTTTCCTGTGTTTGTATAAAAATACCCCAAAGCAAAGATATTAAATTTTGATCAAATCAGTAATCTCATTCAGCTTTTAAAAAATCAGATCAAATCAAATAAAGAACAAGTTCTCATTTTTGGGAGTGGGGGAAGTGTGTGTGTGTGGGGGAGAGGTCATTAAAAAATGCATCCCATGGGACTTCTGTTTGCCAGCTCTGTGGAAAAGAGTTTGGTGACTGGAGACCTTGCTAAATAGACTGTGAAACTCGATAAGACCCCCTGAAAATCCTTTCTGATTTTCAGGAAAAAGTAGTAGAGCTAATTTCCATCACCCTTCATGTTCCTCCTCCTGTTCTCTCCATCTGTGTCAGTAGTCTCTGTGAGAGCCTGGACTGCACCTTGCTGTACACTTGCAAAGCAGTTTCCATACCTCTCACATACCTTGTCGTGCACCTGCTTCACACTCAAAAGGGGTATTTACACTGTGTAACTTAGTGCCTTTCATTAAGCAACAGACTAATCGCATCCCGCTGTGCTAAAGTTCCTGCCAAATTAGTCAGGAAGTATCATGTAGCAACTCATGAATTTCCCAAAATTTCCTTTAATCAAATTATTACAAAGAGAACCATTCTTCAAACAGCTATGTTAAACAACTGTGTCTTGCAGCTGATGTTGCTATAATCTTGAACAGATCACCCTTTAAAATTTGTTAATCAATTAGGTTTCCTCTTTGCAACGTCTTTATGAATAAGCTTTTGGGAAGCTTGCTGTGAAGTCTGTTTTGGAATATATTATGATTTTGATGGCAGATTCGTATCACAGAACCACAGAAGTTGGCAGGCACCTCTGGAGGTTATCTACTCCAGCCACTCAGGCAGGGTCAGCTACAGCAGGCTGGCCAGGATGATGTCCAGTTGGGCTTTGAATAAGTCCAAGAACTGAGACTGCACAGTCTGTCTAGGCAACTTGATCCAATGTTTAGTCATCCAAACAACAAAAAGGGCCTCTTTCTTCTGTTTAAGTGGAATTTCCCATGTTTCTGCTTGCATCCATTTCCTCTTGCCTTATCGCCGACCAACACCGCAAGTTTGACACGGATTTCTTTACTCCTCCCATCAGGTAGTCATGCACACTGAAGCACACCATCTCATGGTCACTGCAGCCAGGCTGCTCCCAACTTCCACACTCCTGACCTCATTTTCTTTGGAAATATGAGGTGCAGCAGAGCTCCTCCCCTCCCAGGTTCCTCACTGTGTTGCCATCAGTGTGGTCCAGAAGGCTCCTGGAGTGCCCTGTGGTGTTGACGCCCCAGCAGATATCAGGTGGTTGGAGTCACACATAATGACCAGGGCCTGCAAAAGTGAGGCTTCTTCCAGATGTCTGTGGCAGACCTCGCCTGCTTCTTTCTCCTGAGCATATGTTCTATAGCAGGAACTTGCCCACAGCAACATCCATTTGTGTCTGATGTCCCAAGGTGCATTTCCACAATTTCCTGCTGCTCTCTTGTATAAGAGGAAACTCCATCTCTTCACACACCTGGCTGCCTTTCTTAATAACCCTGTATCCATATGCATCACAGAAATCCAGCTATGTGAGTTCACTCAATGCATCCCTGCGACTGCAATGAGACCATTGAGCTGCAACTGCACACAGACCTCTAATTCCTCCTGTCTGATCCCCATGCTGCAATGGATTATTAAATGGTAAAGAGTGCATATGAAATAAAGTATCTCATTTCAAAATCTTTTTCATCCTTCTTATTTACAATCTTTCAAGAAATAAAATATCATAACCACTAAGCAAACAGCTGTGATTTTCCCCCAGCTTAATTCAAAGACTTCTGGACACACAAGGCATTATACAGAGAAAGGTCTACTTACACAGGTAGGTGAGGGGGACAGAAAAGGAAGATGAGACTGGCTGCAGGAGTGAAGACATCCAAGCATGTACTGCAGCTATTTTTTATAAAGTCGAATCACATGTAGCAGCCTCACTTTCCCTTGTGTTATTAATTGGCACATTGTGATGTTTGTAAAGAAACAGATCGGCTTTTGATCAGATATGAAAACTGAGATATTTCTGCCCTGATGGAAAAGCTGCAGCTTGCAAGGCAAACCTGTGCCACAACAGCAGCAACTGTGGGCAAAAACAGATGGACAATAACTCTGATTGGCATTGTTTCCTACATACATCCAACAGAAGTTTATTTTAGGCAAGCATAGGAGGCAATCAACAATGCCAGGTTTCAAAAAATCAACAGGCCTTGGTTATCTCTGTAGTGTACCAGCCTCATGTTTGCGGCCACCTAATCCATCAGAGCTTTTGCAATCAACCTCAACTGCCAGTGCTATTTGCTATTGAGTTTGCTATTATGCAGCATCATTCCACTTCCTGGCACTCCATTAATTTTGTACTTCATACGACTATGTTATTCACTTCAAAAACTGCCTTATGTTCTTTAATAATATATTATGATGCTGCTTAAAATTTGGAAATGACAGTTACAGACAGCTGTATAACCAAAAAGACAATCTATAACCAAAATGCCAGTGACTGGTTTGTTTCATTAAAGATCCTGGAAAGGAGGTATGCACAACACAATATAATGTATTTTATTAATTCTTATTCAGCAAAGCCCCAGTACAAAAGCTAGGAAGAAAGCCAGCATCTAAAGAATGAATGTTATCTTTTTCTTTTCTTTTTTCCATATCTAATATTGAGGTCAACTCCCACGTTTAGATAAGTGTGTTCAACTTTCAGAACGAGTGCATTTTAATTTGCAGTTTTGCATACATTCAGAACGTCAAAACCTAGCAAATTCTAAGCTAAAGGTGTCCAGTCTTAACTTCAGCTAATGTTTCTGTGACTGAAGTTAAAACCAGTAGGAGAATCATTAGGTATATATATAACCCATATATTTTTATGGCTATGTAGCATGTGTTTAAGTGGGTAGAAAATGTTCAAGTAGAGATTTTCTCTCCCACTAGGCCAATTGGTAAAGTGGAAAAATGTATTTTTTTATTGTCCTGCCTGTGTCCTTAGACCACCTTAGCTACAGCATGGTTGCTCTAGATCATCTTGTGGATGCAGAGTCAGAATAGCCATTAGAGCATAGGCAAAAGTCAGCATGTTCAAATTTCAGGGATTCCTATTGATAATATCTCTGCCTTGGATTATCAGACTGATAAGTTTTATTTGTGGTTTAAGATTTGAACAGCCTCTAGATTGCATGTGACCAAGTGTGACAGATTGTCCTGTCTCTAAGACAGTTATGCCAAAAGCCCACCGGAACCCTTTTAGGTCCTTGAAATATCCTCTTCTAAGATAGTCTATGCCAAGGACGCATGGAGCATCCAGGCCAGTCACAATATGGTGCTTTTGCCACTCATTCCTAGTTAGACTCACTTCAGCCTACAATACAGTTAACTGCTGAGATCCCCCAGTCACCCCATAAATACAGATGGGCTCTGGCCCTTTTTAGCTTGATGGCATTAGAGTACATTGTGCACCGGTGTCTACTAAAGCCTTATACTTCTGTGCGTCTGACGTGCCAGGCCATCAAATCCACACAGTCCAATAAACTCAATTGTCCCTTTCCTCCCCCTGGCTTTCCTCCCCCCAGAGCTCCCCCTGTCCTGGTCAGAATCTTTGTTTCTGTGTTTGAAGGATTGCCTGCTGGAAGCTGGAGCAGCAAACTTTTCAGAGAACCCCTTTTTCCCAATTGTTTTCTTTTGCAACTCCCATACCCATGCCTCTAGGGTCGTGATAGATTTTCCATCCCGTTTTCTCATGTCCTCTCCATGGTCTCGTAGGTAAAACCACAGGGTGGCACGGGTTGTATACCCACCATATCATCTTCCTTGAGTGGATGGACGCTTACGCTGATAGCTGACACTGGTTTGTACAGGTGGGGAGGAAATTAATCTCTCCTCAAGTTGCTGGAACTTTTCAGACAGTTTCTCCAAAGTATTCTCTTTTAGTTGGTGGACACTAGTTTGTTCAGGTGGGGAGGAAGATAAATTCTCTTTAAGTTGGTGGAACTCTTCAGAAAGTTTCTCCACAGCTGAGACGCAGGCCTGTAAGAAAGAGGAGAAACTTTCTTCATACTGCCAGAGTTGTTTAGCCACTTCATCCACTGTGGGTTCCTCATCCTCTTTCCAGGCCGTTATTGCCAATGAGCTGGCATATGATGATGGTGCACTCTGTACAAACTTCTGCCACATGGGTTATGTACATTTGACTTCATCTGGATCTGTGGCTGTTTGTCCTAGGTCTGGGTCCTCATAAATCACCCCCCGTACGGCTAATTCCCTCAGGTACTGGGTTCCCTTCTCCATAGTGGTCCACTTGCCTGGTAGACATACAAGTTCTTCCTTGAAGAGATACCTTTCCCTCACAGCTGACAGGAGATGGCTCCAGAGGCTGTAAGATTGTGCTCCATCTCCAATTGCTTTGTCAATGCCTGAGTCCCTAGCAAGGGATCCCAGCTGCCTGGCTTGCTTGCCATCTAATTCCACACAATTGTCTCCATTGTCCCAGCACTGGAGCAGCCAGGTGACAAGCTGCTCAACTATGCAGGGATCAAAATCTTTTTGCACATCTCATAGCTCACACTGGTATAGGTTTCGGGTAGTTACTGTTGATTTTTTGTCATCCTCATCCCCATCCTCCTGCATCCCTGATGGCCCAGCCTCATCTTCTCTGTACCTAGACCTAGCAGAAGACTCTCTGCGCTCTAAATGACTTGAACATCTATACCATTTTTTCACTTTCTCTACAGAGGAAACTTGCACTGCTACAGTTCGTTTCTCTGACTTAGCCACAGGAGCTGGAGTGGCTGCAGAAGCTGGAACTGGAGCTGCTGCAGGAGCTGGAGCAGTTGCAGGGTACATCACAGGGGTTGGAGTGTCTGCAGGGTCTGTCACTAGGTTGATAGCATTAATTGCAGCTTGATAGACATGGGCCAGACCCCAGCATATTACAGTGATTTATGTCACTTTGGAACTGCCAGAGTCATGACACCCTTTTTTCAAGCATTCTACCATTTTTTTTTAGGATTTTGCAGTTGTTCAGGGGTGAAT